TTGTCCATCCCAAGCAGAGAGGACGGCACAAAAGTTTGGTTCTTTTAACAGACTTTTGGTCAGGTCTCCAGAAACCTTAAAGCATCATTTTGTCATCAGTGACAAAGTACCAATATCATATGATGAACAACTTGCTAAGAGTAACATCTTTGGGTTGAAACACACACCTTGTATACTTGAGTTGTGTCTTCAGAAGAAAAGCAGTAAACCTCGCAAAACTTACGTGTATTTCAATATACCATCGAATGTAACGCTTCTCCACACTATCACCACGTTATCCACCCCTCCACTAGCAAAGTGAGATCCATCAGAGCTAAAGTTAACACAAAGGCAGGTATCCCTATGACCTTTCAATGTTTTCAACAATGTTCCACATTCGGCTCTATATACCAATACATTGCAACCCACGGCTGCAACAACTAGTTTACCATCTGGACTAAAACATAAATCCCACACGCTACAAAATATACAACGATAACATATTTTACCACACAGGCAAGCAAGACTTCCCCTTGGTTTTCAAGGACCAGTTTGTAACACAATCCATCAACTGGTGCTTCTGTTATCGCAACAATTGAAGTTGCGTACTCATATAGCCTTTACGATAGCTACACAGATATTGGTGATTACAAACAATTTTTACAAAGACAAAATTGATTTTAGCTAAAAAGATACTTTTTATTGTGCAAGACAACGTTGTTTTAGTGCTTGTATTCCCAACCGCGTTATTGTTGTATGCCTTGTGCGTTACTATACAATATTACGTCCAAATGGTTTCTGACAAGAATCATTTCTCCGAGACTGATTCTCTCCCTCTTTCTGGTATTGTTTACTTTTCGTCCATTCCAACTGGCATGAATGTTGCAATGCTGACACAAGAACTTCGACACTTTGGACCAATTAATCGCGTTTACCTCGTTCCAAAGAGGACGTCGCGTGACAAGGCGCAGCGTCAGTATTCAGAAGGTTGGGTGGAGTTCATCAAGCGTAAAAACGCGAGAAATGCTGCAAGAGCCCTAAATTGTTTGGAAGTTCCTGGAGGAAAGGTACTATTCTCCGTTTAATTGTTACCTTTAGAGGAAACCCTGGTTTGGCGAATTGTGGAATGTACGATTTCTTCCTAAAGTGACTTGGAATGAACTCTTTGCAATAGAGCGTCAGAATGCGGAACGTAGAAGGATTCAGAAGGACCGCGATATCATAACTGCCAAGAAGCAGGCTCGGCTTTTCAAAAATAGTATGGTTTCGTACAAACTAGAGGCGAGGTTGAGGACATTGAAGAAGGGAAGGTGCGTTAGTGAGCACCAGCAACGAGTCATTTGCTTTGACATATTTGCATTTGATGGGTGCTGCACTTTGAGTAACCCTCTTCTTCATGATTGCAGTTTATTTTTGTATCATGTCCTTTCATAAAATTTCAACACCGTTGTAGATTTAAGGAAAGAAATCCCCTTGATTTGGCCGCTTTGCAAAAGCCTACTGAAGCGGATATTCTAGATCGTTTGGCTCGATCCAGTCGTACGCCTCCTGAAGGTACTGAAAATTTCTCCGCCCTAAGTGACAAAAACTTTATGAAAAGTCTATTTTCCGGTGGAGTATAATTTGGTCACCTCCATCCACGGTTTGCAAATGATATGCCTGCGTTTGTTTTTTTTGCGTCCTCTCAGTCTTACCGACTGACGAAATCCGTTTTTTGACGTCACCCATTTTGCATTACATCTGGTAATAATGTTACCTGCCTCGTGATGACACCACTTTTCTTACGCATTCGTTCTAAGTCTACTTTTATTAACTGCAAGTCAAGGCTCGGCTTTTGAGTAGTGAGCAGGCTGCCGCTTTACGGGTGAACACAATCCAAGGTTAATGTATCTGTCGTGGTCTGGTTGTTTTGGTTTCACTGCGCCAAAAAGTTTTGTTTGGTGACGTTATGTTGTACTTATCGAAGAGTTACAGGCTTTCCAAGTTACATTTAGCTACTGTATCAGCGTTTTTCATTCACCAAGACTGGCATCACAACTTAGCTGTTCACACATCTTCATCGATGATAGGTGAATACAAATGTCCTCCTCTGCTGTGTTAAGTGGAAATTCGACTCTGTTGCCCTGGTTATGAATCTCGAGTGGTGTTAAAACTGTTTCAACTCGGTACTGTCAAGCATAAATTTTCTACATAAAGGGTATTTCAGCTGTCTAACACGTTGTGAAGTTTGGGGCTTCACCAAAGATCTGTGATAGAAGAAAAAGGCACAGTGCCTCGTTGGTCCAGTAGGCACCATGCGATGTGAGCACATGGGTGAGTAGATTTTGAACTGTTGGTTCTTCAGCTTCAAGCTGGAAGTCTATGCGTGCGCGCAGGTGTCGCTGGGAAGGCGACGGCATCACTTTCATCCCATCTCCTGGGTCATCCCACGTGTCGAAGAGACTTGCAATTCCTGGAGGGTGACTTTTCTTCAAATAGCTCGCCAAGGCATTCACTTTTCGGGGAAGACAATAGAATGCACATAGGTTCCTGTGTTATTATTTAATATCCTCTTTAACGCATAACACACTTTCCCGGTTTCCGGTGATTTGCTTCTGGTTTTAAATGCGCTTTAAATAAGTTTTAAGGAAGCGGAGAGACAGGACTCATGAAAGATTGAGAATGACATGATAGCTTACATGCGAGACCGAGGGACTTTGGAACCGAAGAAGATGAGTTTGGTTTCGATTGCAACTGAAAGTAATTATATGTTCGTATTATCTTTTAGCTGTTACCTTCGACAATTTGGCTTTCTGCTTGTTATTTAACTGGTTTTCGATAAATCCAAAAGAATCCTCCATGGGTCGAACGGGAGGGTTTTTGGGCAGATCGGGGACTTTGAGTAGCTTAGGATTGCCAATGACGGCTGGTTGAATGTTTGCATAGTGCCTCAAGATGAGCGGTTCCAGACGGTATGCCTAAAATATAGAGGTTTTTTTTAATTTTCAAAACCCATAAGGAGCTTCAAATGTAATTCCCGCTTATGAACCCTACAACTGGATCACGTGGATGAAAAATGTTAAATAATCGAAACGGTGCTCTGCTGTTATGTAGGTGGGATTCATCGCAAAATTTTGAGCAGGGATTTGGAGTCTCGTTGTGTCTGGTGCCTGGATTTTCATCGATATCGGAGTCGGAAGTCTCCGCTTCTTTTGGTGCCTGAGGTTTGGTCGGTGGCACATCTGCTGGCTGAATACCACGTAGTGCCAGGAAAACACCCAGAGGAGAGCCAAGGCAGAAGAGATTCGTTATCTACATCAGCAAAAATACAAACTATATTTTTTCAGGTCATTATTTGGTTCTTTGTGTTTAACAACAAACTTTTCCTTGGGAAAAGAAATCTTTTAAACTTTTGCACATTCTTATTACTTTTCCTAGTGAAGCGTTAAAAGCACACTTACCATGGTGAATAACAACGGAAAACGGACCACAAGGAGGTCTTTGTCATGGGAACCAAAGCCAATGATAAGGGAGGTTAGAGCGCACGTCACTTTACCTGCCTTTAAGCTATATCGGTGAGCATATTCGTGCTTTTTGCTCGGTTTTGAAAGGCATTTATGGTATGTGCTGCTTTGGGATTCCATTGTGAATTCCAAGATCCGATAAGGGAATATACCTTAATTTAGGTACTCCCTTTTGATAACAAGTAAATTATTTGCAAAGAAGAGGTGGTATGTAAAGTCACGAAAACAAATCCTACCTTTTGGGTTAAAAAACGCTTCATTTCAAACTATGTTCAGCTACACAAACAATTGTCAACAACATTAATATGGTGGAGAGAACATTCACTACTGTAAACATCGGCGGTTTGTGTTATTCGACAAACCCCTAGTACGGTCATTTCCTTCTGGACAAATGAGTTTTTAATGAATGTACAGGCTGGCCATCTTTATGTAGTTTGCATTTCTCTTAGTTCTCATCTAATAACAAAGTGCAAAATGATATAGCAGCGGTGTGGATGGTACCGCTCTGTGAATTCGCTAAAGGAGGACAAGTAGACGCGCAATCTTTGGTTTCCAAACATCATTTTTCAGAGAACTTATGGCTCCCAGTGAATTGCATAAAATAAACTTTATAACACTAATGATTAGTCAATAATTCAGAAGGGTGCATATGTTAAGGCGAAACGTCATACCTCAGGAAAAGGCGCGTCATCAGGTAGCTCCAGCATATCCTGAAAGGCATAAAAGTGGCTTGAGTCAGAAGTACTTTCACCTTGCAATGTTCTCTTTACCCACCGTGGCTACGACTCCGTCGTCTACTTCATGTACTTACCTGATCATTTTGTGATACTATCTATGAATTCCTTAAGCATAAAATTGGCGAATACTCACCTCAAACGCTTAAGTTAGCATATGGAAAGGAAAGTTAGTGTCTGATGAATAGAGCGAGATTGGAGGTGAACTTTGACTTGAGGCCAGGCCCTTATGGTGATGACTATTATAAGTGTAAAGACTTGCATTTTGGTGGTTAAATCAGAAATGACAGGAAATGGTTTGTAAGCACATTGAATGATGAGTTATAGTGCATTTTTATAGCACACATTCCAGCTGTCCATGATGTGGTAACACTGAAGGTTCAGGAGCAATCGAAATTCAGTGCTATGCGTACGAAAATTCCCAGAACAGGATGATCAATCTCAAACATGAGTATTTATGAGGATGCGATAGAAATTTAGAACTAAAGCGCATTCGGTGGACATCATCAAAAATGTAGCCCAAAATATATGGGGGATGTTTCATAAAGCAGAATAACTACGGTTTTAGACAAGGGTTCAGAGGGGATTCGGCTAATAAGGATGACAAGTTCCAATTGAGCCGATTGAGCCAGCAAATTCCAAAATTGGTCTGCATCAAATGCTGTACTTCCTTACAATGTGATTTGGGACGGCAGCCATATCTCGACTTAGGAGTTTGCAGTCCAGGTAAATATGAATTATTGGCCGTAGTTCAGTTTGAATAGCTTTTATCATCGATTCTTAACGATAACTAATTGACAATGAGTTCAAATACGATCCGTCCGTTTGAATCTCCTCCCTGCTTAATGTTTACTCAACTTCTATGCAATTCATAACTCGATGCACAACAAAACTGATACCTGAGGTTCTATGCGGGTCAGAAGTTTTCGTTCTATTTCCGTTAACCTAAAAAGCAGCAGCAGTAGAACAAGACTTTGCTAAACTATGCAATATTCTTTCAAAACATGCGTTTTGCGTTAGCAAAAAAAAATAAATGCCATCAATCGGCCGGAGTTACGGGTACCAAAAATATCGAAATCATTAAAGTAGCTCTCTACACAGCAATGACATGCAAAAGTTGCAACGTTTCTTAATTAAGAAATCATTCGCGTTGCGTATGCAAAGCAGAGTTTTACGAACAAATTGTGTAAAGCCAGCTGTTTGAAATAGTCTACAAGAGAGATCCAAAAGTTACCTGGTGTGATTTGAAATCAGGTCACAATTTTTGTCGAATTCGTTGTTCATCTTCTAAGTTCGAAAAATGAATGCGAAAGAGAATAACGTAACAAGATTTGATGAATACTCTACCAATTGAAAGGACGGTAAATTCTGAATATAAACAGACAAAATAATAAGCAGTATGATGAGCTCAAATGGATTTCAGTGAAATCTGTATTCACTTCAAATGCTCCTTGTATTTACGAAAAGAACGTTGAAATTATGCTCAGTTTTACTAACTTGTGTTTCGTTAACATTGTAAGTCGAAATAATTTAAATCAAACGGAATGAGTCTTTGAATATCAGTGAAAAAGCAATAATAGTTCTTACTTGCAACATGCAAATGTAGGCACTATCGGAGTACATAGGCGTGGATGTTGTAAGAACATCAAAGGCCACTACAGCACCAAGGGAGTGTGCCATAATTGAAACTTTGCCCCCCTGCTCTATGAAGTTGGGGTTGTGCGCACGGAAGAGACCGTAAAGGCGAACAATCTCATGATGAAAAGCTCCCATAATCTCCATACGTTGTATGGAGCTCGTATAGTACATAATATCCAGTGCAGTGCTATTGAGGTAAGCTCGAAGAGGCTGACAGTCTGTTATGGTGACGCTGCGTATAATTCCTTCATTCAAGGGAAGGTTTGTACGCCATTCAACAGGCAGAAACTCAACTCGACCCTTGTACTTCGTAAAGTACTTTTTTTTTAGCCTTGAACACGTTTCTCGTAACCTAAAATATGTCATATTTAAACGCTTCATAAGCACCTGACATTGCACCTTGGTAAGAGGAGTGAGAAGTATAAAACTATCAGAATCAAGATGAGGAAGCATGTGATGTGTTTATACTACAGTTTCAATGCAGTGACCAGTACCTTATGCAATCCCATGTGATGCTTCCTAAAGTTTGGCCAATTCCGTGTGCAATTAAGACAAGGTGGGATACGTCAGATGGCCGATCCTCCGTCGTTGCAAGCTCATTATAACCTCTCGATAAAAGGATACCTAAAAGTGGTGTTTTGATATTCAAAATTTACCGTCAATCATGGAGTATTTTTTCCTAAAATAATGAGCAGCGGCATTCGTATCAAGATATACATCTCCATTCTTCAGAAATCTGTAATACCTATTGTTAATGTTTAAAGAAGTAATAACTGGACTAGATTTTTCGGATCACCGTACCATCATTCTTTTCATTTTTTAATGCTGGAAGATGTTGCAATCGTAAAATTTCTCTGTTGTATACGTTTTCCAGCGCATTGGATTCATCTTCGTCGATCGGTTGCCAATTGTCCGTTCTAAACCACAGTCCTCTTTTAACGATTGCCGACTGCCAAACAATACTTCTCGATATTTTTGGGATCCGATCACAATTCCAATAAATTGGAGTGCACAGCCGCGTTGAGAGGTCAATTTCATACAACCCCTCCCTAACCTCCAGCTTAAGATCTTCCAAGTTTGGGTTTTCGCAAAATGCTTGGTACTTCTTTTCAATACGAGTAGAATCATATCCAGAGAACGGTTCGATTATTGGGGATGGGCTTTCGCCAGTTATTGGTTTATAGAACCATCTGACGCGTTCCACAGAGAGATCATTCTTCGTAGGCATCACACACAGGAACTTTTCGAGCGAATAACACAACGTGAAAATATAACGTGTTGCTTATCCGTTGTAAGATTTCGTGAGGAAAACTTGCATAGGTAAACTGCGCACCTAGTATAACCTCGAAAAACGAAGCAATAAAATAAATCCTCGTTTGATTTAATTTTTCCTGATATTTCGCAGTAATACTTATATATATTTGTAGACATTAAGTAATAGATACGAATATGAATTATAGTAATAGGTGCATCAAGTTAAATTGCTATAGGTCGTTATTATTTTTAAAGGGCTCCTAGTATGGTTCGTAAACACACATCACAGTAGAGATCCACGAAATCGCACTTGGTATTAGGAGCATTACCTGTTGCCAAGTCTATGTAATGAAAGAGTAAATGGATAGAATGTGCTTTAATTAACTCGAAAGCCGGTCCTCGCTTACATGAGCGAAATCGTCTGATAGTCAGGTAAACAGTCAAAAATTAAGTTCGCCTTTAAGAATAGGTAAGGATGTTGGGGATTTTTTTCAGATGATAGAGAGTATAGTAGCATTATAAGTCTTACCAACCTGTAGTGAAGGAACTAACACTACTTCCGAGTGCAAAATTTAGTGTTTAGGTTGATGTTTGAGGTATGCGTGCATGTCTGCACGCCTAGACACTAACTGCGACATCCAGACACCTCCCATTTTGTACTTGTTGACTTTCAGATTTATTCAAAACAGGAAAGACGTAGAACTTTGGTAGACTTAAAACCAGTCCTGATTTTAACACTATTATAATTGCCAATGCGAACGCTGCCGAGTCATGCTGTTCCAAGATCAGGAAGTTAAATTTTTTCAACCTATGCGATTTTAATTTGAGAGCACCCTTGTTGAAACTGAACCAATGCTTGTAACACTATCGCTCTCTGAGGGGCCAATGTCTGGGGGCTACATTAGGATTCGTCTGTTCTTTGTATGCATGGGCTGATTTTCAGCCCATGCTTTGGCCCAATCCCTTTGTTCCCCCCAGAATTCATTTATTAGGTTAAACCTGCTGACATCTTTTGTTCTGTGGAAAGTCTCGAAAAAGTGCTTGTTAAATACATCCGTTTTTATTATAAAGATTCGATATTTCGTGTCATGAGATCTTAAAATATGTATAATGGATGCAAACTGAAAACAAGTATTTAGTGCGTTTCGACTCGGTCAGCGCTTAACCTACCCAGTAAAGACAACCACGCCTCCTAAAATTTCATCTCTAACCTATTATAACACGAAAGCCAATGCATCACTATAGAGCCAGAACCTTCCATAGAAAGAGCTTGTAGTATCCCAAGATATTCCACCCAGTGGAAGAAGGCAGCAATTGAGGGTGGATACCTGTATTTCAAAGAGGACGAAGCGACTAGGCCTGAGCATGACCCTAAGGCCAGCCCACACGCACAAGAGCCAGACAAATATTAAAGTGACCACCAAACGTTAAGAGGTCACACCAACAAAACATTAAACTGCCCCTCTCTTCTCTTGAGCGACGTCCTCGACACTCCCCTTTGGTACACTCCCACATCAGTCAACACAACATATTTGGTGCTAAAAGAAAATAAGCACGAGCCGACTGCACCAGTCGACAGATAGTATGAGATCAAGGAACCATACTTGGTTTCCTCGGCAGCTTCAACTGGATCTGGAGCTATGTTCGGTCTGACAACCAGTTTCGGGGCCATATACCTCTGTTGAACATCAACTGCTTCCATAACGAGATGGTGGAACTCTGGTCTAAAACAGACATGTTACAAGGAAGACGGAATAGGCTACTGCTCCGTATGCAAGGAGAACCGTAGTGTCATTTTCGACATCTATACACGGATTGTGTAGGAGGAAATTCCGACACGAAACTTTTCCAGATGGTTCGCGGCAGCGTCGCTTCGGTTTTTGATAGTTTGTCTGTGGAACACGGGCACAAGGTGATATCAAACGCAGACGTCAATCTGAACTCTTTTGCTTCGAAATATTTAGAGGTACTACTGTCACCAGTGTAAATACGCCTCCGTAGCGTCCCGAGACTTCTCACCGGGTGGAAGAAAGCAGCAAGTGAGGCTGGATACAAACATTCCAAAGAGAACGAAGCGACTAGGCCTGAGCATGGCTCGAAGGCCAGCTCACGCGTACAAGAGCAAGATTAATCTTAAAGTGATCACTAAACCCCAGGTGGTCACCCATACGAAGCATTGCACAACTTGCCCACCCTAGGGCCACTGAACCTCGGACTACAGGAGAGGGTTAGTTGCAGAAGTTTTGTTCGACATCATGCATAGAAAGAAAAGAAACGGAGGACAGATGAGTCGGGAAGCAGATGTCAGCCAAGAAGGAAATTTTTACATTCCTCACACACTAGATATGTACCCGATTCCATTTTCCGCCTCTCCTTTATGAAGACAAACTTCAACAAACTGGGATATATTACGCATATCAGCCCTGCGAGTAAAAATGTGTACATGGCTAAGGCCGTCTAGTTTTGTTTCTAAACACGATGAGACTATTTCAGCTATGATACTTTGACTCTTGGTGAAAAAAATTACAAAAAACACCGCAAATAATTATGCATATTATTATGTTTAAATTAGCCTTTATAGAGGAGAGGCAGAAAAGTAGATCGAAATGGAATCCTGTTCGTAAGAGCGGGAGGATACGTTAACCGGATAACATTAGCTTTTTGTATAATACATTGTTTAGGTGACCACATTGCTTTTGGCGGTCACTCTAGGATATGTCTGGTCCTTGTACACGTGGGCTGACCTTCGGGTCATGCTCAGGTCCATTTACCGTCGCCTTCAGAATACATGTATCCAGCTGCACTTTCTGGTTTCTTATAGCGGCTATGAAGTCTCGGTACGCTACACTGGTAGCAGCGGAAAGCGAACCCGACATTTTTTTTTAACTACTTTTAGCCGAGATGGGCTCTCTCTGCGGCTTGTTCTTAGTTGGTCGCTTGTTAAAAACGACATAGTGTCCGGGAAAATTTATTGCACAAAAGACACCGCTGTTTTAATGGCATCCTAAATTTGTGTTGCTAACCTTTGCCAATTAATCAACTGATTTCCAGAAAAGAACAGTACGAACAAGCCGACGAGCAATGGTTCAGTACCTACAAATCGTACAGGATCTAAAGGTGTATGTCGCTTGTTCTTGGTGTTGATGCTCTAAGGTTAGGCAACTATGAGCCTGACAATCTGTTGGACCCCAAAATCGAGTTCCCTTGGACTGAAACTCAAAACCTCTCTTTTTACGACAAGTTTATAATCTAACTAACAGACATGACTGCAATGGAATTCTACTATTTGGTAGAGAAATCCAAGATCAATAAGCGCATGTTGGCGTTACGCACCGGCAATCATGAGCTATACATGCGTAGAAGGAAGTATGACTCTACCGAAGTGTAATAGATGAAGATACAGTTCAAAAGGGAAGTGAATGAAGAAGGCGCATTTACCTTGATGACGGAGAATCCCTGAATCCTTCACATTAGTCCCGTGTTCCACAGACAAGTTATTAACACCTGGAGCGACACCGCCGTGAACCATCTGGAAAAGTTTCGTATCGGAATTTCTCATACAAAATCCGTGGTTAAGTGTCGAAAATGACACTACCAGTTCTCCTTGCATACGCGGCATTGGCTCACCTCGATTTACCCTAACATTTCTATTTTAGACTAGGGCTCCACCATCTATTCCTTAAAAGCATTGATGATCAACAGGTGCATGCAGCTCCGGTCCAGTTGAAGCTGCCAAGGAGACCAAGTACGGTTCCTCAGTCTAATGCAATCTGTCGACCAGCGCAGTTGACTCGTGGGTGCTTTCTTGTACTACCGAATATGTTACGTACCAAGAGAAGTGTCGAAGACACTGCTCAAAAGCAGAGAGGGATAGTGTAATACTTTGTTTAGGATTTGTCTGGTCACTGTACACGTGGGCTGGCCTTAGGTATAAGCACAGACCCATTTGTCCTGTCGTCTTCAGAATACATGCATCCAGCTGCGCTTACTGACTTCTTATACCGGCTAAGAAGTCTCTGGGGAGTACATTTTGTTTGAGTAATTTTCATCCTTCTTCCTTTTTTATGTTTATGAAACCCAATAAAGCTTTGTTAACCAATCCTTTGTGGATAGGTTGGGCTGGAGTGCGGCCAAGCTGCTAATAATTAATCCACTGATATATTATACACTTTTCAAAAAATCTATAAAGGTTTGTCCTAATATTCGTTTTTGTTTTAATAGTTCGTTTTACACGAAACAACATTGTTCCTTTAACCTATTGCCCTTTCGAGGTTGCGCTATCCCTATGTCGAACTTGTTGGACGATGTTCATGCTGTGGCATCTTATATTTTGACGTATGAACCAGAGCGACACGTTTATTTGTTGCTAGCGCGCAGAGGCTTATGAGTTTGTAAGTGTTAGTAGGTGGCACTTATTTTTATTGTTACTGTTAAATTATTACTGGTGCAGCTCTTTCATTTTCGTGTGTCTAAGTCTGAGTTGGCGTTCGCAATTTCCTGTTTTACCGTTACAGATGGATCAGGTAGTACTGATTCGTTTTGATAGTATCGGTGTTACTCTAAATCTTTTGCTTTGCCTAGGTTTAGGTTCAATCGCCATGCTATGGCACATTTTACACTTCGTTACTGTATTTTGGCTTAAGTATTACCTTTTGAAGTGGGAAACAAACTTAGGGTGTCTGGCCAAAAAAAGACGCGGTTGACATGATGCATCACGC